AGTGTTTTCTAAATGCTACAGTAATTATTTTTTACCTAATTTATTTTCTGTTTTAGCTTTAGGCTACTTTCTGGCAATCGACCTCGTTGACCTTGGACGACTATAGTCGTCTTTCACAATAGCCACACGACGCTGTTGGACGACTATAGTTGTCACTCACTGCTGACCGGTTAAGCATACCAAGCCAAACAAAGGAACGAAGCCACAATCCTCAAAGGCCAACCAAACGACCAAAAATTATTGATGAATGTTTTACTGCGCGTTTCCATGTAAAGTTGTAGCATGTAGTAGTTGGCCTGCAATTGTTTTAGTTTCTCCTCGAGTTTTTTCATGTGACGTTGTGTAATTATGATTTTGTATATTTTTATCGGGCTTTACTACTCTTTGTTATCAGGTATGTACTATCATTAGAGAAAGATCTCTGTTAATTTTATTGAATTTCTCGAAAAAAAATGATAAAAAAATATATTATTTGTTTTAGTTAAAAAGATATAACCCCTATCTTCATAATGGATAAATAGGTAATACGTACACCAGGTACATCTTCAGCTAACAAACGAACAAATACTGATGAGGAGTCGCAAAATACTGAACTAAATGCACTATCTAAAAAAATAAGAAAATACAATGAGGAATTTATTAAGTATGGTTTTACATTTTGTGTTGTTGGTGATAAAGAACGCCCAATATGTGTCATTTGCAACAAAAAATTAGCAAATGAGAGCATGAAACCAGCTAAATTAAAAAGGCACCTGGAAACTAAACATAAAGAACTTCAAAATAAACATGCCGATTTTTTTCAAAGACGAGCTGAAAATCTGAAAATTCAAAGTGCACATTTAAAGAAATTTACAACAATACCTCAGAAAGCATTACGAGCTTCTTTAGAAGTTTCTTATCTAATAGGAAAAACAATGAAACCCCATACAATTGGAGAATCCCTTATCCTTCCTGCAGCAACCAAGATGACATCAATTATGCATGGCGATAACTATGGAAATGAACTAAAAACAATACCATTATCAAGAGATACCGTGTCTCGGCGGATTTCCGAAATGTCACGAAATATCGAGTCAGAAGTCACAAAATGCATACAAAATTCATCTGTATTTGCTTTACAACTGGACAAGACTACTGATATTACTAAAATGTCACAACTAATTATTTACATTAGGTTTATTTTTAATGAAGATATAACAGAAACGTTTTTATGTTGCAAAAGTTTGAAAGGAAAAACAACTGGAGAAAAAATATTCGAAGTAATAAATGAATATTTTGAAGCAAAGTCCCTTACCTGGGCAAACTGTGTTGCGGTTTGTACTGATGGTGCTGCAGCATTAACAGGTTCGAATAAAGGGCTCAGAGGCTTAATTCAGAAAGTGGCGCCTCATATGGTATTTAATCACTGTATGATTCATCGGCAAGCTCTTGTTGCAAAAGATATGGATGAAGAGTTGCACAACATATTACAAGACGCTGTTAGTTCAATTAACTACATTAAATGCAACAGCCTCAACAGCCGTCTCTTTTCAATACTTTGCAATGAGATGGGCTCAACGTATGAGAGATTACTGTTACACACCGAAGTCAGATGGCTTTCACGTGGGAAAATACTACGACGGATATTTGATTTGAGAAATGAAGTGTACATGTTTTTAATCGAAAAGAAACATAGATTGGCAAGTTATTATATCAATGAAGTTTGGCTAGGGAAGCTGAGCTATTTAGTTGATATTTTCGAATAACTTAACGACTTAAATTTGAGCTTGCAGGGTGAGAATTCAACTGCAGAGTTTATAACTAATATTTATATGTTAAGATTTCCTTCCCTTGATATGTAAAATTGTTTAAAATGTATTTATG